CATCGTAGGATGTTATGGCACCTTCAGTGTGATCATAACTGGCAAAAGGATCATTGGAGGGAGCCTGAATGCCAAGTTTGGAGGCATTCATGCTCCTTGGTGAGAGGTTGGTACTTTTGTTAGCAAAGTTTCGCATATTGTCTGTATTACCCAATACCTAGTCAAATACACACAGATTCAGGCTACTTAGGCTTTAGTTTGGATGAATTTGATAAGTTTATTTCATAGTACGGCCACAGGTTGATATAAATGCTGGCTTTGCCCCAGGTCATCCATTAGCCAATGCAAAATGCGTATAGTGAAGTTCCTGGGGTCCAAGTGGGGTGGAACCTTGCCAGGCTAACTGTATATTCATTTCCCACGTAAATGCACCCATAGCGGGCCGATATACCACCGTATACTGTAGCACGAATGTTGTATGTCCACAATATATTCCCTGTGCCAGTGTCGATGGCGTATATAGGCCCATTAGAGGCTACCGACCCAGCAAAAAGGACGCCATTGGCCACCGTAACAGGCCCCTGGGTAGTGTCATTGCTGGGGTTTGCCGTTGACCACACGATTTCTCCTGTATTTGCATCCAAAGCTACCCATGCTCCTGCTGTTGTTGTTCGGTTAGATGGTGTGAGCATGAAGCTTTGGTGGTCGCTGTTAGCAATATTGGTGTAAACCCTCCTCCCATCTGTGGCTGCACCCCATTGCCCTCCTCCTGTCTTGCCACCTGGTCCTGCTAGCTGTGTGGTTTTCATGCGAAACAGAATTTCTTTAAATTCCCTATTGACAGTTACTGCCAACTTTAATGTATTGCATCAGAAAGGCAAAAAGAGTAATCTTACTTACATTGAACCAGACTATGTCACCATTGTCGCGGTCTGAGGCCCGGGCAAACCCACTCTTTTGCACTGCAACAGCTACATCACGACTTGTACCATTAGAAATGATAGTGAGGAGCATAGGAGCCTTGCCAAAGTCTGCATCTAAATTAGGTCCTGGAGGGCAGTCAGGATTGTTAGGAACCAAACATGCGAAGTAAAAAATGTCATAGCCC